TGGGTTAGTTTTCTGTCTCCTTTATGAAAATATTTCTTGACCTGACAAGGCCTAACTCCTCCCTGGAGCTGGCTGAGATTCTCCTCAACCTGGAAATCGAGTTTTCCTTTATTAGTCGTAAAACACAGACATTAATCTACAGTGATCTAAATATCTAAAAAGGAGTACACAACTCTCAAAACACCCCTAGCATCCACAACAACTGTTTATGACATAGCATAGATAAAAATGTCTCAAATGTCTGCTTTTACTTGCCCTTAATTCCTCCAGAGATCGTCTAGACCCCTTCAAAAAAAAATCTGCATTGCTAAGATGGAATAAAGTGAAATTCTCTCCAAAGAATGACGTTTTGTTTCACAAGAAGAATTTTGGGCAGATCTTGCTAAGTTATTCATATCTTTTAAAGTTCCCATTCTTACATTCTTAAAACTATAAAATGCAATCAATCATGTTTTTATAATTGTTTTCCAGTTCTAGTATTCTATGAAAATTATTTTTATTGTCTGATTTCTTTTCTCTTCTTGGACTGTATACAAAATTTAACTAGAGAAAACATTGACTCTGAACCCCTGAGTCTCATAAGCCAATATTCTGTTTTGAACTTGAGAAACTCTTAAACTCAATCTAGTAAATATTTATGCATATTTTAAAAATTTGGGATTTTTTTGGTTGTTATTGTTTTACTTAAAATGGAGTTATGTCCTGATAAACCTATTCTAAATAGAACATACTCTTAAGAAGAAAATGCATTAATACTCTTGGCCTACCAAACATCATGGAATATCCTAGAGTCTAGGACTTACACCCTCTCTCATACATTCTCAGAAGACTTTAGGCTACACTTGAGCAAGTGCCTCTAACAAGAATATTTTGTAAGAAAACATTGATTATATAATATATTGAAGAATTGCTGGTAAAACAGCACACTGAATGGTACTGGTTGTTGACTTGAGCATGTGATCTCCTGACAGCTAAAGTTTGCTGCTGCCCATCAACATGAAAAAATTCTGTATGCATATTACCAATGCAGAAAAAGATCTCAATTTCAAACACTAAGATCATTGTCACACCACGATAGAGTCAGAACAGTGTAAGCCAACCAATCACAAATGGGGAACATTTGCATATCAGCTGTGCGTGCTTTATGATCCTGGGCTGCTGCTTTTCTTGTGGGAGCAGACAGTGTAAGTCAGAGAGCTTATTCTTAAGCAAGTGCTTTAGTATCAGACAGAAAGTTATCATATATCAAATGTTGGACCAATGTTCTAGCAGCCTACACATGAAAGAGAGAAGGGAGTGTTCATTCTACTAGAGAGATAACAAGGGCTCAGAAACGAGGTCATGGCTGAGATCAAGTCAGTTCAAGAACACACAAGATCCAATATGTAGAAAATTTTGAAAATGAAGAGAAATTTTGGAATTTAAGATGTGAAATCTCAGCATTTTGAATGTTCTTGTCACCTTAGTCAGTGATTCTGCTGTACTTTGAACCTCCCTCCACTCTGGGCCAACCTTGTAAAAAACTCCATTCCCGGCATGGCTCTCCTGGCACAATCTTATTATAAGGTGCCTTCCATGTCACCTTTGAGTTCCCAGTGCCACAGTGAGTACCTAGCATGCAGAAGATAGCTAAAGCTGCCTAAATGAAGGAATGAGTCAGATATTCAAATCAGACTGAATAATCAGTTCAGTAGACTCTCTGGACTTTGAGTACCTGGTTGGCCTGTGTCTGCTATGGAATTCATTTTCCAAATGTTACACCTTGGTTCAACTTGATTGAAGTTCTACCTCCCAGCTCCATGCTCTTAGAAATAAGACTCATATTCAAAATATATTTACAAAGAGCTTGGCCATCCAGCTAGGGTCTTCTCTGACTAAAATCATAACTTATGATAACCCATTTATTTTAATCTGCATCCTTCCATATGTCTGGCTACCTGTGCTGAAGTATCATGTGTCTGTCTCCTCACATCTTCCCAGGCTGATCTCCCTGCCCTGGGCTCAATCACAGATCTCTTTCCCTTCCCAGATGTCCCACCTTCTATTTCCTGCCTAAGCCATAGGCATTTTAATGACAGATGATGAACCCATTCATACATAAGAAGTTCTTTCTATACCTTTTCCTCCTCTTTAGCTGTTGTCTGCAGGAGAAGGTGGACACTGAATCTCCAAGAGATCATTGTTGCCTTGTTGCTATTCCTATCTGTTGTGTCGTGTCTTTGGGGAAAGATACAGTGGGAGGTGAAACATTCCACCTTGTGGAGAAGTCATTAAGCTCAGAAAGTAAATATATCAATGTATCTTCAGGAATTTATTTTCAGGAAGTCCCTGAATCTGACTAGATTCACTTCTAGGTCCCTTTCAAGTATATGTGTATATAAGTATGTATACATGCATATACATATATGTGTATATGTGTAAATACACACACATACATGTATACACACATATATATGTGTGTATGTATATATGTTCCTGAAGCTGACTAGATTCACTAGGCCCCTCTCCCCGTGTATGTGTGTGTGTATGCACACGCATACACATGTGTGTCACAAGCACACACACACATACACACACACACACACACGCAATAAGGACTGATGACAAATACTTTCAGACAAACCTAGCTGTCTAGAAGAGTCTCAGGACAGCTTAGAAGCTTGGAGAGGAGACTCTTCAGTCTGCTGAGCTGCTCAGAACAGCCTGCAGGTTATTCAGTATGCTCTAGAGTTCCCAGCTTTCATAAGCTGTCACCCATGCTAGGATGGACTTTGATGATGCAGCTGTCTTTGAATCATTTCAGGTCTTGTAAGTAACTCCTTGCCTATACTGCTGTAAGTAACCTCAATAAACTCATTGGTTCACTAAGCTGAACCTGGGTGGTATGTGTACTTTGGCCTGTCATCAATTCCTTATTTAGTCTGAATAGGTGTTTATTCACTCTCCTAAAGAATAATATCACGCAACACTATATCTCTTTTAAGATGATATCTGAATCTGAGGGAGTTCTCAAAGGTATATTCTTTTCAGGGTGTTTTAAAGATGTGGAAGAGAAGCCTGTTTTTAAATATCTTATGTTTAACCTGGTAGATTTGTTCTACTGTTATCACTGAACATAGGTAAAAGTGTTTAAGGTCTGCCCCACCCCACAGCACACAGAAGCATTCACACCCCTGTGATCCACAGAGATGCAGACACACAGTGGTGAAGGTGCAGAAGAAATCCACTTGGGGTAGGATGCCTGAATGGGAAATAGGTCTTGAAATGGACAAAAAGTAAAATCAAGACCATCAGAACATTTATCATTGCTGCCATAAAGGTCACCTCTAACATCCTAAGAAAGACTGTAATTTTATATAGCTTTAAAACCAGAATATAACAAAATACATAATTAAAATATCCATAAGGAAAGTATAAAAATATGTTGTTCACATTTTAATTTTTAGGTCTTTTATTACTTGTGTTTAAATTTACTTTTGCCTCCCATATACTTATAACTTTACCCTCAAATCTCCACCTATCGCCTCTGTCTAAAGAGTAGATGATAGTGAAAACATGCTATCCAAGTTCCTAAAGCCTCAGATAAACTATAGCTCATGCCTAGTGTTTACAAATGAAGAAAGTTGCAGAAGAGGGTGAGTAAGAACTGTAAAAACCAGAGAGGTTGAGGACACTATGACAACATGGTCCACAGAATCAGCTAAGTAGGGCTCATAGGGGTTCACAGAGACTCATGCAACAATCATGGAATCGGCATGGGTCAACACTAGGTCTTCTGAATATGTTATCATTGTTAGCTTGGTGTCTTTTTGGGACTCCTAATAGTGAGAGTAGGGGTGTCTCTGTCTCTTTTGCCTGTTTTTCAGACCTCTTCCACTCACTGGGTTGCCTTGTCCAGCCTTGATATGAGGCTATGTGCCTAGTCTTATTGTATCTTGTTATGCCATGTTGGCTTGATATCCCTGGGAGACCTACTCTTTTCTGAAGAGAAATGAAGGAGTGAATCTGGGGGGAGAGGGATAGAGTGGGGGGCAGGAGGCTGGGAAGAATAGAGAGAAAGAAAACTGTGGTCAGGATGTATTGCATGAGAGGGTAATTAATTAATTAATTAATGAAGTCTGGTCGATAATGGCAACAAAAGTTCTACTTTGTTGCAGCATAATTTAGCACTTTTGAAGTGTTCTACAGAGCAACTACAGAGGCCTCACTGATCAGCTTGTTCTTCATTTTGACAAATTTTCCATGTGATCTGTGCATAGTAACACTTTAGAGGCACCAAAGGCCCCCACAGAAGCCCCCCAAAAGAGAAATTTTTCCGTGACCCTTTGTGCCAGCTGGGAGTTTTCTTCACAGATGCTGTATGCTGTTTTCTATATATTGCCTAGGCTTACATAGAAATTCAGTCTTGGAATTTCATAGTTTCCCTAGTTTACAGTTTTCATCCATCTTCCTGATGTTATGTGCTATAAATCAATCCTACCTATTCCTTCACCAGTGGTGTGAAAGGAAGGGAATGGGATCGAGATAGGATGTATGGTTTTATTTGAGTAATGAGAATCTTAACTTCACCATCACCAAAGTGCTAAATATTGTCTTAGGCTTAATTTTTGACAAAAGGAGATTTTTCTATCTCTCTTCCTGCTGACTTTTGTGTTCCACACACTGAGTTGGAGCCCACAGGCATTTCTTTGTTTGATTTTATTTGACACTTAATAAAGAAGACTCAGAGAGTCAAGCACCTTCAGACATGATTGCTGAAAAGTACCCCCATCAACTACCTCACAATCACAGAGGAAGATGCCTCCATCCTTTCTTAATCTTGACCCTATTGTCTCACTAGCATCTCTTCACTGTGGTATTGTCTGTACTAGGGATAGTGATGGAGACATGGGTAATTACCTCAGTGACAAGACTTCTTGCTGAAGCAATGGCAACATCAGGATGTGGGATGAGGGACACAGCTGTTTAAATGTTGCAAGTAACAAAAGAACGTGACATACCCAAAGTGCATCCCAGACATCCTTCCTCACAAGGCATGCATTCTTCATACTCAGAATCCTGGAATTCACCTGTACAGTGAAAGGAATGGAAAACATAACTCAGACCCACTGGGTGAAGGCATGCTCACTGCTATGAAGTCATACTGGTGTGTAGTTTATTATTAAGTGACTCACAGAACAATTATGAAGCCCCAAACCAGCTTGAAGAGGGATGTCATATACCTTAAAATCCTATATTAATTTAACAGACTGTCGCACTCAAGTGGGTAAGATACAAAAGGTTTGGACTGTATTTCATATAACTAGTCTTTTGTTTGCTTGTTTGCTTCACTTTGCTTCACTATGTAGCTTATACTGGCATTAAGTTCAATGCTTTCCTTTCTTAAATACTGAGATTGCAGCCATGAGCCACCATGAATCCATGATTGGCCATATAACTAATTTTAAAGTCAAGCTAGCTGATCAGATTTATTACAGTTGTGTGTCTGGCAAATGGAATTAGATACGTAAATGGGCAAACTCACTATCTGACCTACTAAACATATTTAACATATATATATATATATATATGTATATATATATATTGCTGTCTCTATGAATGGGAAGGAGAGATAGAAGGAATGTTTAATTTAAAATATCTTGAAGCTGTCTTCAGCCATGGACCAGCCATAATCCTTATATAGAGGAGTGCTTTCATATAATAGAGCAAACATAGTCAATGATGCCTAATTTATCACCTTCCAATATAACAAAGGAATTGAACACATACAATTCAGAGACCATTCAAACATTTCAAGTAGGTTTAGGTAGACTGATTCTGTTTTCTTCTCATGGGAATTTTCCTTGGTGTTATACCATCGCTTTTATGAATAAAGCATCCAAAGCAGGGAGAAATTAGACTTATTTTTCCCAGTGTCTCACTGTTGACCAAGACCTTGAGATTTGAACCTCAGTTTTTCTCTGTTGTCTGGAGAAACTCAAGGGAAATGTTGCAGAGGTAGAGAAGAGCTCCAGTTGCCTACTGAGTTGTTCAGAGTCACTCTAAGTTTTCATATAACACCATGATAATTGAAAGTAAGGTAGTCAAAGCCTCCTGAGGCCCAGCGGTACTCTCTCATCCCACCTCTTGGTGCTGAGCAGGGCCCCAGAGAAGCCTCACCTTGTCCGCACTCCAGCTTCTGGCAGGTGTGGTTTGTGGACATGATGATGTAGCCACTCATGCATCTACTGCAGACATGTGAGTTGTAGCAAAGCTCACAGTTGTCTGGGCAGGGTAGGCAGGCGTGTCCCTTGGCAGGATAATGGCCCACAGGGCAGTTCTCCAGACACTCTCCTTGGTACAGCAAGCGCTCCTGACCATGCTTGTCTGACAAGTTAGAGGGGCATGAGAAAGAGGAAATGGAAAAAACAGCCATGGAACCCATATAATGTAAGATGTTTTATTAAAAAGAGAAACAACTCAGTGCTTCTGTTCCTAGAGGACCAAGGGCATCAGAATGGATTTAATAAAAAGTGCAACATCTGTATCCTTATTGCTGAAAAGTTTCCTTGCAGGAAATCATTTTATACTATTTTATATATTTGAGTGAACAACTTCTATTTGAGATGTCATTGTAAAGCCACAAACCATACTCTGTGGGTAGCTACAATTCAAAATATGTTTAGCTTTCTCAAGGGTTCCTTTTGGTAAAGGTGGAACCATGGTTACAGAGCTGCCATAAAAATAAACATGGGCTTCATGGCAGACACCCTTGACAAAAGTGTAATCTCCCAATGATTTGGAATCAATATTAAAAGTCACATGCTTGTGCTGATTAATGTCTGGGATTTTGCAAAGCTACTAATTGTTCTACGAACAGCCTTATTGACACCCTAAATCAAGCACACCTCCACAACTCCCCCACATCATCCCTAAGGGTTTTATTTCTGTCAGCACTGGGCTCTATGAGAAAAGAATCAGTAATTTCCCAGCATGACAGACAATGGGAATTTATTCCTGGAGAGAATAGAAAAATCTAATCAATTAGAGAAAAATCAGGACCAGTTACAGAAGATTATAAACACCTATAAATATTTTACAAAAACAACACCAAGATTAATACTACATGTCTACCTAGGAGCCTTATTCCCAGCTTTGGGGAGTTGCATTCCTCAGTGTGCTCTGGGTAAATATCTACATTTTGTGCTGAGAATCAGATTTCCCATATGGCCCCGCCTTTGAAGAACAGCTGATCAGTGTTGCTTAGAATAACATGAGTCTACTGTTCACTCAGCATATGAGCCGGCACATGGATATCGAAAGCATTGACCTTCAGGTTGCAGAGATGCCGAGCGTACAGATAAAGACAGCACTAGGACTTTGTTGGAAGGGCAGAAATAGAAAGTCAGTATAATGTTGGAGGTGAGCTTGCTGATGCTCCTTTGTGGAGTTTCTTGAAGTGAAGCATTCAGCTTCAGCATAGTAACCTGAAGGCACAGGCTAGCCATCTGTGTTAGTTTGAGCGTCTGTTGTGCAGAGAACAAGCTAAATAAGGGCTTGGTAAACAATTACCCTCTCCAGGAAACCTCTGCTCATCACCTATGGAAATGATCTGTGGCAGCGTTTTGATTGCTCATTTGGTCCTTATCTGATAGTTTCTCATTGTTCAGTATGTGAGGACAAACCTTATTATTCTGTAAACACCTTGACAGCAAGTCAGTTTTTTTGATTGCAGTGACAGAAATACCAGGCATACCTCTTAAGGGGACAGAGGACTTGCCTGGCTCTCATTTTCAAAAGTGTCAGTGCATCAGGGTAGGGAGGTTGTGGTGAGGCAGAGAAGCTCCCTTCCTGGAAGCCATACCCCAGAGAAGAATTCCCATACATTGTTTTTCTCACCCCTTCCCCTCTGCCACTCTCTCTGAACCCCAGCTTATGGAAGGGTAAAGCCTACATTAAGGGTTCTAGTTCTCTTTCAGTCTATTCTCCCTGGAAATGCTCTCATAGAGACATCCGGAGATTTCCTTTACTAATCTACTAGGCGCTTCAAAACCAGATTATGAAATGGGTTAGCTAGCACATTGTCTGGTTTATTGTATTCTCCATTGCATCTACTAGTAACGTGTACAAAGGAGGGACACATTTAATATTTACGACAATAGACTAGATGGAGCTCTTCAAGTAGAAAATATGGAAAAATTGTCCAGGTCTTTTACACATGGTCTGATATAAGTAGTAGCAAGATGCTTGGACTATCTGAAATTTGCTTAGAATCTAAACTTTGTTCTAATTTTGTGATAGATATTGAGATGCAGAGGGTTTTATGGAAAAATGAGTCTTAATGTCCATTTGTTCCTTCTATTTTTTTAAACAAATAACAAGAGGCTTAGAGAAGTGAAGTGAGTATTTAAGTATCTTCTAGTTAGTAAGAAAGCTGGGGGCTTGGCATGTGGCTCAGTCGTAGTGTTCTTGCTTAGAATATGTAAGGGTTTAAGTTTGAATCCCAGTACTGCATAAAACCAGGGATGGTGGTGCATGCCTATAATTCCAGCATTTGGGAGGTAGGGGTAGGAAGACTGAAAGTTTAAGGTTATCCTCAGCTATGTAGTGAGTTTGAGGCCAGCTTACAATACAGGAGATCTTGTCAAAAATAAATAATTAATAAATAAACCTACCTAGGAGGATGGGACAGTTGTGCATTTCCTTAGAGGTAGTCTTGAGGGCCTTCGTCCTGAACAAGGCACGCTCTCCCTTACCTGCTGTGTGTGCACAGTCTCTGTGCTAAATGCTGTCTCATATTCAGAGCACATCAGGAAGCAGGGGATGAAATCATTTCCTGCTCTTCTGATGTTGGGCATAGAGTCTTTATGGACAAGATAGACATTCAGAGTGTGGTAAGATATATAAAACAGGAGTGAGCAGAGGTCCAGTTTCTGTATTCCTGCCAATCCAAGATATTGTCTTTTTTTTTTCATTTTTTTTCTTGGTTTTACTGTAGGCAAGAATAAAGACGAGTAAGCCTCTCTCACTAGACAAATGGTATAAATATGATGGATGTCAGGAGAAACAGCCTCTCGGGGTCAGTGAGACAACTGGGCACAGCAGAGATTGCGGAGAAATGCAGAGTAGCCTGTTTGAGGCTTCACCGTGAAAAAAATATGTGGAACAGATGGCTCCCGTACAGCAACACCATCCAGCTTTTCACCAGTGACCAATAACCCACATTTTTTCCTTTAAATTACACAAAATTTAAATTTACCTCACATTCAAACTCTACTACATAGGCAGAATCATATGATTGTAGTTCATATGAAGTCAAAATAGAGGACAGGCCTAGTCTGGAGCAGTGTCAAGGGTTAAACAAGAGAGGAATGTGGAGGGCATGGCCTACCCCCCAGTGATGGTAGATACCCAGAGAGTAACTCAGACTGGACCCAAAAGGTCACATCTGTCTTGAGTGAATTGATTACCTTGCATCTAAATGGCATAGCTCAGCTCTAAGACCTCACATAACCTTTAATGCATTATTAGTTTAAGGGACCATATGCACCTTGCTTAACTCCCTAGCTTTTCATGTCTACCACAACAAGGCTTGGTTTCACTGTGCACGTCACGCTTGACAACACACTTACTACTTTTTCCTCTTGCTTCCCTGAGAAGACCTCTTTTCACTTCTCTCATCTCCTTAGGGGCAGTGAGTCAACATGTGTGATTATGTGAACAAGGTTTTTGTGTCCTGGCAGCAAAAGAGCCTTCAGGTTGTACTGGTGCCGTAATGAACAGCTGTCTGCTCTGAACCTCAGCCCTTTTGCAGCTTTCTGAGCCAAACAAATGCCGGCTTGTGGCTTGTGAGAGAACGGCCTGGGATGAGGAAGGAGCCAGAAGCAATTGTCCTCACCTGCTCTACAGGAGGTACAGTTGGAAGGCCCACTTCCTTGACATTCTTGGCAAGTGTGGTGGCACGGATGACATTGCTTCTTAAATTCGAACTTCCATGAGGGACAGTTCATAACACAGCGACCATCATCGAAGACCCTGGAGGACAAGCAGGCTATTAGAATTCATCGGGATGACTTCTGAAGGGCCAAGAGTCAGAACATGTGCTGTGCATGTTTCACTGTACAGATTTGCTCTCATTGTTCCGGACACAAGAGCGATGCCTAGGGCAGATCATCTCAGAGCCTGTGAGATATTAGTCACGTACCCATTCTTGGCCCAATATATGGATCCAACAGCAGGCTAACCAAAAACTGGCTAGAGATATGATCCCAAATCTGCTCCCAACAGGTGCCCACCCAAATCAAGGTCATATAGAAGGCTCCACCAAATCCAGTCAATATCAGATGTAGTCTCAGACTTTCAAGATACTAAATGGGCTGCTGAATCCTGAGGCTTTAAAGAAAGCTTTTTTTCTTTAGTTATCAGCATGCCCACATTTGGTAAGGGGTGTGTCATATCTAAGTACACTGAAAGAGTATAATGAAGCACTACTCTGAAGGTTAGATGGTATCCAGAAAATTGCCTTATGCATATTACAAGCATATGAACTCAGATTTTATTTGCTCACACTTAGAGTCTCTTGACCTCTGCTTCTTAATCGTGCTCGCAAACACTCCCTGAAGGCCTGGAATAACAGTTAGAAAACAGCATCCTAAAACCTTTGGCTTTATATGTGTGCAATCTATATCATGGTGTCACTGCTAACATTTTTGTGTTTGGGCTTCATCCTTCTCTGCAGAGTAATCATAAGAGCAGATGGGATTAAGTCAACCGAATCCAAGCGCTCTACTTTGAAAAACACAAAATGTTGATGAAATAAATGTAGGAATCAGATAGGTAATATGAACAGATGAAGGGGTCAGGGTCCCACCTCCAGATGCTCTAATTTAGTTGAGCTCAGGAAAAGGAGTGGAAAATTGCATTTCTGATGATTTCTGATTTCTGGTGGTGCCAACTTTACTGATCCAGAGGGCATGGGTTTAAAAAACTTTTAATTATTTACTCATTAGTTAAAATTTTCATGACCACGCACACAGTGATTGTACATGTTACCGAAGCACAGTGTGATATTTTAGCGTAGTGCTTAGCCTCCATTCATGACATCAGGACATTTACTATTCCTAACTTCTTGCAATTTCTTTATGATTGGCATCCTCAGCCTCCTCTAGTCTGAATCTTCATAAAATCTACAATTGGAAATTTGTGGTACCACTTTGCTGTGGGATGCCAAGACATCTCTCTTCTCTCTGTTACCCAGTTTTTCTCGATCTTCCTTCCCTCCCCATCTCTCCACACCTCCAGTCTACATTCTGTTTGACTAGTTTTGTTCTCCTCATATGAATGTAAGATTATGTAGGGTTTGTTTTTCTGAGTATGATTTACATCACTTAACATGATATCCTTTGGTCTCTTCCAGTTTGCTGCGAATGGCAGGATTAGCTTTTTTATGGCTGAATATGAATAATATTCAGTTGTATGTATATACCACATTTTAAAATCCATTGGGTAGCTAGATTGATTATGTATCTTAGCCACCATGAATGGGTCAGTAATAATCACAGTATTTCTAATGTTTCTTTAGTATGCTAATCCCATTTCCTGTGGATCCTATAAAGATCACACTTGGAGAGCCACTGCTGTGCGAACATCTGGATGGCTTTGGAGTTTGTGAATTGAGTCTGTGTAATGCAGATGATGTCAAACTGATGTCTTGTAGAGTTTCCTTAGAGTAATATTTAGACTTGTTGGTCATAAGGTTAATTGAGTGGAGACCATATCCCTGAGGGTATAATTGTGCTACCGCTTCTAGGAGCTGAGGGGATCATCAAAGAAGGAAAATTCCTTTGTCTGTACCACCTCTCACTAATTATTCCTGGTGTGGCACTGGCTTGTCTAAAACACGCTGCTTACACATCTTGACCCAACCATTTGGGTAGGGAGCTGATTACAACAATCCCAGGATTAGAGAAATTTGGGAGGCAAAACACCCTTTCCCATTGCTTTGTGATTTACATCAGATTGTAAATAGAATGAGACTCAAGTCTACAACCCAACATAAAAGGCCAGCTTACTCTTGACTCCCTGGTCCCTCAGGTTCTGCTCATCAGACTCAGCACCACTGGAAGTAATAATTTTCTTGGTCTCCTGCAGACTGTGTTTAAGCTTTAAGGCAACACTCACACATTTGACTGACCATGTCAAAGAAAGACATGAATCCTAACAGAAGACCGGGATGAGTCAGGGCTGTCCTGTGTACTGATTGTTAGGTTGGCCTGATTAAAACCACTATAAGGGCATTTCTCCTAACTTCTTAGTGTTTTAATGGAATGAAACTTTGTAAAAAGTCTTCTCTCCCTGTATTTTCATAGAAACGGATCAAATAAAATGTTTAAGTTTGTATAAGAGCAAAGGTAACTTCCAGATGCTTTAATTTAGTTTTATTTACGTTATACTCCTTTGAGGCTGGGCTAGGAAGTAGGCTTCAGCACTTAGGACCATAGCATTTTAGAGCTATGCATGTTATATACAGAGCTAACGGGGCTGTTTCACATTTTAACTTGTCTTTAAGGAGCCCAACGAAAGGTGATTGGAACTGTAAACAGAAACCATAGGATATGCAGGTGATTTCTAAACTTCTGGTTTTTACCAGGGGTAGTGACTCAACCTCTAGGGAGAAATTGAGGCAGGAGGATTTCTATGAGTTTGATAAAGATGTAGGTTTCCCAGTGAGTTCCAGGCCAATGTAACCTAGAGAGTGGGGAGCTGTCTCTATTCTATTTGGTTTTTTCCCCCTGGTTTTTAGTAAAACAACTTTAGAGTTAAATTCTTAAATTAAAAAAAAATTGTAGAAAAATTTAAACAGACATAAAAGTATATCTTGTGTATATAAGCGATAACTGTCCCCCACTCAATGTATGCATCACTCAGCTTCAACAGTTATTAATACCTGGTCAGTATTATTTTCTTTCCACTACTCATTCAGCTTTGAACCAAACTGGAAAGTTAATGTTAATGTTTCTCACAGGTGAATGTTATCTGAAGATTATCTTTATTTTCTAGGAACTAAAAGAATGTAGTGGCTTAAAAACCAGAAAAGCAAGCAAACAAACAAACAAACAAATAAACAAACAAAACTCCAGAGACCAGCTCTCCAGATTGTTTGTCATCCCTGTCCCTAATCCAGATCCTTCTTCACTGTTTTCCATATTGTTTTATTCTGGACGTGAGCTTACTAAAAAGGTCTATCTCGGGGTCATCAACTATCCTCATTCATGAGGTAGAAACCCAACTGGCCTTTAAACTAGAGGAAACATCATCAGGAATTCTAAGGTTGAGACAAGAAAGACTAGGCTAGTCAACCCAAGCTAGCTTCCTCCTTCCATGGCTGAGTAGAGGCTGTGTCCTCTGTTGCTCCAGCATCTGGCAAATGTCCACTCCTTCTTGGGTCCAACTGTTTAAATGTCAAGGTCTTGAATTTCCCTCACTCTTGCTTCATTTGAGTGTGTTAGCATCCTTTGACTGTGACCTCAATGTCAGGAACAGTGTCCTAAAAAGCCTTTAGAGTCTCTATCTATCTATCTATCTATCTATCTATCTATCTATCTATCTATAACAGAACTAAATATAAAGCAAGCATTTTTGACCTGCTTTGCATGGACTCCACTTACCATGGCTTGGATGTGTTATATAAAATGTATGTGTTGGAAACTTGGTCTCCAAGGTGATGATGTTGTGAAGTAGGATTTAAGATGAGAGGAGTAGGTAGTGAGGAGTCTTACACAACAGCTGGATTGGTGATGTGACCATGGGAATAAGCCATAAAAGCAAGTCTAGCTTCCTTTTGTTCTCTCACTGTTACTCTCTCATGCCTTCCACCTTCTGCAGTGGGGTGACCCAGCACCAAGACCTTCACCAGAGGCCAGTGTCATGTACATAGATCTCCCAGTTCCCAGTAATATTCAACCACAGCTATATTGTTTATAATTTATCCAGTCTCAAGTATTGTGTTATAGAAGCTCCAAATGAGCCAAGACACTGATCCAGGAAATACTTGGGAAAATACTTTGCCATTTTTCTCAAGAACAAATAAGTCAGCATAACCTTATTTCCAGATAACTTTTTTTTTAAAAACTCTTTTCAACTCCCTTCAGGGAAAATATCAGAAAAATAAGAAGTCAAGTAGTTTGTTGCCATGCTCCATTACCCAGTCTTGGATGTGTGTGTGTATACAGCTAACATCAAAGAAGAAAGATGTGGGGGAGGAAAGGATGCTTAGAGCAAAGAGAAGAAACTGTTCCTAGGAACAATATTTTGTTAGTATGATACCCTGGTTCAAGACTCATGTATATGAATTCCTTCATTCAAAAGCTAATAGTATACTTTACAAACAAAACTTCCAAAATGTCCTAGTAGTGTTACCCTTCATTTTATGTCAATGGGCCTAGATTTCTTGTTGTTTCTCTTTTTGAGACAGGGTCTCCAGGTAGCCAGGATAGACTTCAAATCCTGCCTTGTCTTTACTACCATGGTTACCTCTATGCCTAGATTTTGTTTGTTTTTTTGTTTGTTTGTTTGTTTTTTAAGTAGTCACTTATGGTGGTAGAATTTTTTTCTTACTTTTCATTTCTATTATGCTAGGTACAATCGTGTATACTGGATGATTATAATCGCCTCATTAGACAAGTGTTCAAAGATGTTCAAACATGCAAGGCAATTTAATTGTTCACAGTAATATAAATGTAGGTTAGAAGGAAAACAGGGTATAGTTTTGCTAATGTCTTTATCTTAAATTATATTTTGAAGTTTCTTCGATAGTTACAGGTTTAATTCTAGAAACACTTAGAAAATAGTCTTGTGGATGCTTGCAGAAAAAGTCATCAACAGTTCACCCATCTGTTAAGCCTGCCAGATCCAATCTAATAATGACCAGCCTGGCAAAATGTGGCTGCTGGTGCAATAGTGCCATGGATGTTATAGGGGTAATCATTGCTTTCTGAGTGGATTTAAGGCCTGCTACACAGAAGGGAACTCATACCTGGTACTGTAAACCCAGTTCAGAACTCAAGTCTAAGGTGGTTATAGGTTATTTGGAAACATACTATTTTAATTTTGCTAAATGGGCATAGTGTCAAGCTCCCTTCTAAATACTTATATCCACACCTGTGGATTAATTTGGCTTTCACTCATTAGAGGAGCTTTATTTATTATTATTATTATTATTATTATTATTATTATTAATTATTATATTTATTTCATGTATGTGGGTACACTGTCGCTGTCTTCAGACACACCAGAAGAGGGCATCAAATGCCCATTACAGATGGTTATGAGCCACCATGTTGTTGTTAGGAATTGAACTCAGGACCTCTGGAAGAGCAGTCAGAGCTCTTAACTGCTGAGCTATCTCTCCAGCCCGAAGAGCTTCTTTTAGATAACAGTTAATACAGAGACATTTGGTCAAATGACTTGGCTGTAAATGAGACGTCTAAATAATTACTCTTCAATGGTTCAGGGAACGAGACTGAGGAGCAGAAAGACGATGACCATGAAACGGTATCTTCTAGACATGACATGGCCAATGCACAGAAGGGAACTCATACCTGGTACTGTAAGCCCAGTTCAGAACTCAGGTCTAAGGAAGTTATAGGGTATTTGGAAACATATTATTTTAATTTGAAATAGTATGACTATTATAGTATAGTATAGACTACGAGGTTATCCACAGTAGACCTGAAAAAAATTGGTCCTATCAACATTTCAATATGGAAGAAGGGGCTCATGTAGCTCTTCTGCTACCCATGGTACTATTGACAGTTAATGGTCACTAGAGGAAAGGTTATAATTTTTTTCAGTAGTATGGCCACTGATAAATTAAATTGTCCATGCTATACTAAATGGCCTCCCATTCATGCTCATAATGGTTGAATAATATTCCACTGTGTAAATGTACCATATTTCATTATCCATTCATCAGTTGATGGGCATCTTAGTTGATTTCATGGCAGCAAGGAATGTTGATGAGCTAGTATATCTGTAATAAGATATAGAATCCCTTGGGTATATGCCCAGTAGTGTTACAGCTGGATCATGTGACAGCTCCAGTCTCACCAGCAGTAAATAAATATTCTTTCCTCACATTTTTGCCAGAATTTTTCATCATTTGTTTTTTTTTTTTACATTTTTTATTCTAGCCATTCTGACTGAAGCAAAATGGATTTTTTTTTTCTGGATGATACTGGAAACAATCATTCTGAATGAAGTAACACAAATTCAGAAAGGCAAACATCATATGTTCTCTTCCATTTGACTTCAGATATGTTTACTTCATTTTCAATAATCTTAGAGGTCTGGAAACTAGTAGGGGGCCATGGTGGAGAGGTCCAAGGCAGGGAGATAGAAATAAATAGTATATTGGCTCAGAGGGGATTAATGGAACAGAAGGGGTTAAATTTGAGTGGGAAATGGGAGGAAATGGTAGAGAAGGGGATACAGGGGAGATAAACCAATGACCTTTTAAAAAATTCATAGAGAAACACACCCACTGCTGTAGAAGCTTCTTACTGTATAAGTATAGGTATATATATAGGTATAGGTAAGTTATATAGGAGAACAGTTAAAATGGAGTCATCTTATAACAGGATCACAATGCACTGACTAGATACCACAGGGTAATAAATAAAAGACGTAGTGTTAGAAATGGGTTAACTCTTTTGGAGTTACTGTCCAGTTACGTCTCATAAACCTCTAAACAGGCCATTGTCAATGCTATTGGTTTCTTTGAAGAACTCAATATTAAGAGCCTATTGCTGAAGATACCACATACTTAAGACATAAGTAAGACATGGAGAAATTTAGCTGGTACTCAATTGTATGTTTCACTCTTACTGGTTAATGTTCATAATGTTGTGAGGTGCTAATATATATCACTGAAGGAGAAAAGTAATCATCAGTCTTACCCAGCCATGATCCTGCAAGCTATAATAACTTCTAGCCTGACAAGGCATACCCATTGGTACAATCGTGTCATGAATATTATGGGAGTAAGCAATCATTTTCTGATTGGATTTAAGTTCAGAACAACAGCAACATGAAACTCATTCAGGTACCTATTATCAGGTCATCATCCATGCCACTAGTATCAGGCTAAGAGCCTATGGTTAGATGGGTCATAGGAACTAGGAAAGAAGCTAACACTAATATTCTGTTGAGCAGACAGTATGGTATGCTAATTCTTAATGACATCATTATACCCATTAATTCATCTCTTGACTCTCATTAGAGAAGCTTCTATTCTCAGTAGATGGTGATTAATACAGATACCCACAACTAGCAAGAGACTGTAGAATGCTCAGCTAATATGGGTCATCTATATCATAGCCACTCCTCATAAGGCTCAATCATCGTTGCAGAAGAGTGGACATAAAGACTCTAAAGAACCAGAGGTGGTGGATAAACATAATCAAACAGTGCCCCTCGTATATAGCAGTGAAGACATAAACTCAAAGTGATTGTGACAGCACACACAAGATGCAGTGCAAGCTGAAACAAGACAATGTCCTTCACACATGGCAGAGAAGATATAAGCTCAGAATGATGATGACAGCGTGAATAAGCTCCAGTGCAAGCTGAAGTAAGACAAAAATCTCATCATCGAAAGGAAGGTCAACATGAAGTCCCACCTCTGGTTGAGGAGCTATTGGCAACTCATAAGTACTGGGAGAAAGTCATTTTTCTTTAAGAATGTTGCCCTTGGTAAGCTGGCCAAACTTCAGAAGGCCACACATCCAAGATATATGTGCAGCACAAATTAGACTTGATGGGTAGAAAAATAAGTCACAAAGTTGAGGGGTGGGTCTGGGAGGAGTGGAGGAGAGAGTGAATATGATTAAAGTACATTGTATAAAATTCTAAAAGAAATATTTTATAAAAAGAAACAAATAATTTAAAAAGGGAGATAAATGTATTAATACTTGAAAATGACAGGCCTATTGAATCTTCAAAACTATCAGTCAGGGAAGATTAAAAAAAAAAGAAACATGGCAAAGGAAATGTTACAAATAAAACATAAAACTTGAGAACAAGATTCTGGAAATATTTTTTGTGAATATTTTAGGATAATTGGTGAGAATGGAATATGGGCAATATAGTATAACAATCTGTGGAACATATTAGATTTCCTTAATTAAAAAAAAAGAAAGCATTCTCATGGTTAGCACTGGGAATCCTTGAGATTTCTATTTTTTCTTGTTCTTTGCTACCTTCATCCTTCATTCTTTCCTTCTATTCTTCTTTTTGGTCTTTGTCCTTCATTTTTTGCCTTCTTTTAAGGGAATTCTTCTGACAATCAAACTCATGGTCTTGATGACACACAGTGCAACAAGCAAATGTTTATAAAACTGTTACTATATACTGGTCACTGTGGAAAATAAAGAAACAAATAGAGCACAGCCCTTGCTCACAGGGCTGTCACAGTCCTGAGGAAGAATGAGGACAGAATGACCCTTGTGCAGAGGGAATGTCTCAGTAGAGTTGCAAAGTACCCCCTCTGTGATAATATCCTTATCCAATTTGGAGAGAGAGAGAGAGAGAGAGAGAGAGAGAGAGAGAGAGAGAGAGACTCAGCTTCTTGCACATTTAGCTAAACATGGATAAAAGCATTCATTCAAACATTGGGAAGCTTCCAATTATTAAGAGCTAGATCAGAGGAGCACTGGTTAAAAATATATCAGACATCCAATCCTCACTATTGGAGATGTCTATTAGATTAGCAGTGCTGCTCATTGCTTGCTATTTCTGTTTGACATGTAATGATGCCTCCATTTTCCTTGAACTGTACAAGGGAAAGAGATGCAAATGTGAGATCTCAAGAAACTCACATTCTAGTAAAGACAAGCATTTGGAAACAAATGTCTTCCAGACACCTTTGAAAGCTACAATACTCTTATAGATATGCTATAGAGCAGAAAGTCATAAAGGATTAGGCTATGATGACTTGAATTGGATCTCCAGGACTCACATGTTAGAAGGAGAGAACTTATTCTCATATTTTGTTCTATGATATCCTCACAAGTGCTGTAGGTACATGTATGTATGGATATAGAGCACATATAAATAAATAATAATTCAACAAACAGTAAATTTTTAAAATTCTACTAGGAAGTGGTCAGAAATGCCTTTACATAATAAGTTTCCCTTAAATTGATTATAGAAACAAGTGTATATGTGTGGGAGTATATATATATATATATGCATATATATCTATATATTATGGTATTGAATTGATTATAGAGATGAGTGCATATATACTCATATATATGTATATATTTCAGAAAATGAAAATGCTGTTTGAGAGATGAGTGTGTAGGATATTGGATTCCACTGGTCAAAAGTGATCTCAAAGGTATCATTTTCATTAACAAGATAGCTCTTAAAGTATTTAGGAAATGGGTCTTTGCCAAGGGTATTGAACCTCATGGGAGAGGACACTACAGAGGTGGGTTGTGGCCAGACTAAAGTGAATATCTATGTCATGGGAAGTAGTTTGGGTCTTGTGTCCAACAGCCTAATTAGGTGCCACTAAGGTGTTTAACACATCCTCTCTATACCCCACTCTTAGGAATTACTTAAAAGTCACTCACCTTGTTATGGGGCAGCTGATACAGTCTTCCTGAGTTGGTCCCCAGCACTTGGAACATGAGGCTTCGCAGGTTTGGCAGTGGCCTTGCTCATCAATATATTCTCCTGTGGAACAAATGTAGCTGTTTACTTTATTTCATATAGCAAGCCTGCCAGGGCTGACAGTCAGGGATTAGTCAGAGCTCTTGCTGGCTACTTGAGCAGTGGAAATTACACAAGGCATGGTTATGCTTCAAATCAAGCAGTGGTCAGGCCACACCCACATCTTGTCTAAGCATGCTATAAGGGGAAGGATTGTAGTTTTAGAGAAAGAATAGAAGTAGTGTTTTGACTGAAACTTGGCAGATGTGAACTAGATGTTATCCTTAAAGATTACCAGTGAAGAAACAGAACAGGGTTTTTCATTCAGCTGGAAAGTTTATCTTTCCCATAGGAGTACATATCTGATCTCTCCACAGAACTCAATGCAGCTTCACAAATTTCTCTTGAGCATAGGAAATCACCACCACAGCAAAGGGGTAGAGAGAGATCAACCTGCCCAAAGGCATCAAAGACAGGATGGCACTCAATGAATCCAACCCTCCTCCTACACTGCATCTCTTCTCCCTTGTCACTGTAAAAATCCAAACCAAACCAAACAACACTCAAACACAAAGACACAACAGTTTGAGAGATTTCTTCAGCCAGATCCAAAATGCCACGTTTTGTTGTTTGAGAACAGATAATCCTCAGAAAAAAATATTGTCCAGATTCTGGCAGAACCATCGCCTCCCTTGGCCTCATCCCACTCTTGAATTTGACAGCTGTTTAATCATCTAGAGCTTGTCAATGTGAGAACCACCTGGAGTGGTGAGGTAAGACGACCGATTTATGGCTTAGTCAAGCCACCTCAATGATGCTCTAAGACTGCTGATGGTGTCACTGTAGTTGCATTCACTGGATGAGGATAGAACATGTTGTCCTTGGTTTTTCCCACTGTAGAGCAATTTTAATCCAGCAACATGGCTACTCTGCCAAGAGATCACACTCAAAAGACCTTCTAGGTCTGTGTGATCCAGTTGGGATGGCACACACCCTAATCCCTCTGGCTGGAATGTAGACATGTCCTTAATAACATACTTTTAAGGTAGAATTGGTTTGTAGAAGAAAGCAGCCATATTTGAAAGTGACAAATCAGAGAAAGATTTTCCCAAATGAGTCAGAGATAGGATATGTCCAACTCTCATGAGAACAGAGAGGAAAGAAAGGTGACTAAAGGGAGAGGAGGAGGGGGAGAGGGAGAGACAGTTTTACAGAGACAAGTTTTAGGTGAAGATAGAATAAGCCAGAGAATAAAACATTTATTCATTCCCTTATTTTGTGCATTTTTTGTTGCTTATTTTTACACAGTGTCTCACCATACAGGTCAGGCTGCCCTGGGTCTTATTATACAGGCCAAGTTGCCCTGTAACTTGTGATCCACTTGCCTCAGTTTTCTGAGTGCCAGGGTTATAAGAGTACGCCACCATGCCTGTGTGGAAAATTAATTCTCCCTCATTTCCATCAGTACCTTGGCTATGTGTTTTCTTTCTTGATCTGCTCAACTATAAAGGCCTCCATTCAGCACTCATAAAATGTTAGATCTAATGACCACCGAGCATTTCTTAGCTCTGCAATTTTGAAAACATGATCTAAGCAATGTTTTTCAACCTTCCTAATGCTGTGACCCTTTAATAAAGTTCCTCATGTTGCAGTGACCCTCAACCATAAAAGTATTTTTGTTGGTGCTTTATAATTGTAACCTTACCACTGTTACAAATCATAATGTGTTTTCCAATGGACTTAGGTGATCCCTGTGAAAGGGTAGTTCAATCCCAGAAGGGTTAGAGATTCCACAGGTTGTGAAAAACTGATAAGCACAAGTTTTTACACAACTTCACTCCTTTTGTCCTCTATTTTGACTGCGCCAAACTTTTTCCAAGCTTCCTTTCTCCTCACAATTCTCACAAGGAGACATCTCTTAACTTGAGAATAGGATATCTGAGGTCCCTCAATTTCCTTTTTTTCTGTGCCTAAACTCCTTGTGAACTCAAGTGCTCTCTTAACAACTGTCTTCAAGGAAGGTGTATCATTCCTGCTGCCCATAGTCAACTCTCCACTCACTGCTTTTCATCTTTTTTACTTGGGCTGTTTCTCTCAATCCCTCGGTCCTAAATCTCCTCTTTATGTCTCCATGTTACAGCATCTACAAGGATTCTCCCCTAAACTAAAACCTTCCCAAGACCCTTCCCTTCCTGAGAAGTGACTCCTCAAGGCTGTTTATTTTCCTCTTGGTACTTGGAAACAAAATGGAGAACATTTTGTGACCTTGAAGCTTATGTAATCGAGTCATCAAAGGACAGCTAACTGGTTCATCCCTCTCCAGTCTGCACGCCTCTGCACTTTAGAGTAAGTACTGGCTTTACAAAAGATGACAATAGAGAGTCCTGCTCCGATTCCCATATTTATGTGGATGTCCAATTAGTCACATAAACAACTGCCTTCAGTCCTTGCACACAGGCACAAGTCTTTGTCTGCACATTTGGAACTGAGGAAGTCAGATTCCAAGGACATAAGGAAGTTACTCTTTTTTTCTTTTGTGTTGTTGGAACAGCAAATTCTTGTCATCTGTCTTCATTGCACAATGAAGTTGAATGTTTATGACAGGCGTGATACACAAAATTCTTAGGAGAAGTCACTTTTAGCAGAGATGCCAGGAGCCAGCATGTTGTTCACCTATCTATCCTACAAGCTCTTCCTTCTGGCAACTTCTCTTATTATGTCCAGATCTTACTTTTCCTGTGGTTGCAACATTTCCCTTTCTCTGTTAATTCCTTTTAATCCATTTTACAGGGATTTAAAGGACTCTGAGGAAGTGGGAGCACATGGGGAGGAAGGGCGTCTGGAAATTTGAAGACCCAGCTTCAAAATGAATGCTTATGAATTTAGAAGTGTACAAGCACGAAACTTGGTATGTTAGTTCTATCCTTTATAACACTGTGAAAAGGTATAATAATCTTAGATTATAAAGGAACTCATATGAGGTCATCCAGAAAAGGTGAACTTGCATTATGTGATCTCCAGTTATAAAACACAATCCAAGACATAATAATAGACTTTAGATGTACATGGCCAGAAAATGAGCTAACTCACCACTCCCTACCACCCCTCTCTCTCCTTTCCTTTTCCCCCTTACCCCTTACTTGATTATCTCTCCCCTCTTTTTTTGTGGGACAGGGTCTCATGTAATCCAGACTGGCCTTAAACTCACCAAGTAGCAGAATATGACCTTGAATTCCTGATCCTCTTCCCTGTCTCCTATGTTCAGGATTTTAGGCTTGTGCCATCATACCCATCTCAAGAATTTTGTTCTATAGAGGCACTGTGTCTTTATTGATTCAAACAAAGTCAATTGTAGAGTCTATGTAAATATATATCCCAATAAGGGAATAAATACTTAAGTAATAGATTATGATGTGTGTTTAAAGCAATTTTTTTTTTAATCAAAGTGGCTAGTAGGTGGGGGAGGAGGACGAAGCACTGGGAATCCAGCAGCTTGGTGTTGCTGGTTGTTTCACTGAGCATCCTGGATATTGACTATCTTCAGCTTCCTGTCTAAAGCCTACTTATGTGCCTTATCACCCAGGTGCCAGCAATCATGTGACTTTATTGAACAATTTCACAATCCCAAGTACTAATTAAATAATACTATCTCTTTTCAAGGAAGCTAATACAGAGCCTCCAACTTAAAATACCATTGTGTGAGGACAGTTTTCATGAAAAAGAACTACACATTTATTATTTTATGCCAGCTACAATAAATGCTTGGCAACACTTTCAGCTAATTATATGCTAATGAAATAAGTCAGTTTTTAAAGCCTCGTTAAGCTGCTGTTTTTATAGCAGGGCTCAATAAATGAGACCATCAACTGAGACTGAAACACCTTTAGCTTAAAGTCTCCATAGTCACTCAGCCTTAAAGGGGAAGGAGATTTGAACAAGGTGTCCAACAGTGGTGAACTTTGAAACTATTATATCAAGTGAAACAGACCAATCACAAAAGGACAAATGCTTTATGAGGCCCTCAGAGTAGTAAAAAGTCATAAGGACAATATAGTATGGTGATTTCCAGGGGACAGTGGGTGATAGGGAGTTAGAGTTTCATGGGTTCAGAGTTTCAATTAGAGAAGATCAAAGTGTTTTGGAGATAGATGGGGAATGATGGCCACACAACATGTGAAGTAACACACATGCAGAGGTGAAACTGAACTCTGAAAATGGCTAAAATGCTATGTGTGTGTGTGTGTATATATATGTTAATATATATGTGTTAAACATATATTTAAACATATATATTAACACACACACACACACACACACACACACACACACACACATGTTAAAAACTATCTACCCAATAAGTTTGTTCCTTAACAGACCTATATTAGATATTAACAGCAACAAAACTCCTTCAGGCTTTGGGGGTATGGATATAAAGCACTGATTGTCTTAGGATACAGATCTGTCAAATAAAGGCTTGAGAGAGGACAGTGGTAGGCAATGGATGCACAGGTAAACCCATCAGAAGGGAGACATCTGGGAGAGGTGATTTTCTGTGTCTCTCCCTACCCCAGGAACCACTATAGGTAAAAAGAACAAGGGGCCAACTAGGACAGACCCACCAACCTCCCTGGTCTGGCTGCGCCTCTGCAGGGACTGATATACTCCTCTTGTAACCTGTTCTCTCAGCATTTCCTTTGGTACACCTCCTTTCCCATGGGATGTTTGGGTTGACAGAGTTTGTGTTTCCTAGTCCTGTGGCTCTCTCACTCTCAGCCTAGGCATGTATCTGTGTGCTGTATGCAGACACATGGGATGCTATCCTGGCATCCTCAGGGCTGGTACTCCTGCAACTGGGTGGATCATAAATTTTAGATCCAATACAATGCAAATATTTACCTCCCTTAAGCTTACACGTTCTTTGAAGGGCAGAATGAAGAGGTGACATTCTTCTTTCCACCCTTGTTTGAGCCCTGACCACATTAAGACACACAGAGAAGGTAACCAAAGTGAAGGGTTGGCCAGCA